TGCTTCGTGGTCAAGAAGGCACCTGAAAAATTAAATTAAATCCTTGAGAGCTCTCAAACCAGCAAAACGCCACTCACTGTAGCTACACACGAGAAATCACAGCTTAGAAAAACATCGCCGCTAACATGTGTTAAATGCCGCCTTCATGAAAACAGGATACCGCCCATGGCAGTCGCTCACATTGCTGCTGCTTTTCAGGATCCAGAAAAAGTCATCTTGCGGACTGGAACCATGGCACTAGTCGCTGGCTGGCATGCATCGCAACATCGTCTTCCAATGAGGGCTGGAACGGCACACCAAGGAGCAAAGAAACAGGAACCAGAAGGAATAATCCTATGTCTATGTCTATGTCTATGTCGTAACACAATTAAGAGGCAATCGGCCTAGTGCGGTCTTTACCAATACAGTCAAAAGTCGTTAATTTGGACACCCATAATCCGGAATGATCTATAATCCGGACCTCAAAGCTAAAAACTTTCTGCGCATGCGCCGCGTTGACACATGTACATAGGCGTTTACGCGTACGCGTAAGACCTATACAACTGCACGTGTGCGCAAGCACAGAATACGTTTTTGCGTGCGCGTTTTATGTATAACGGACAGTATAAGCTAAAATTATCTAATTATCTATTTTAGTTAATGTTGATGATTGCGTTGTTCCTTAATCTTCGAATTGGATCCGGCTTATTATTTTTTGCAGACTGTAAGAGCAATTTTATAAAAGTAAACTTGAACTTTCGATTATGTCAAATAGAATTTCCGATGCTGGAGCTCCCAAAGGATCTACGAAACGAAAGTATGTTTCGATGTCCATCAAACAAAAAGTGGAATTGCTGCAAAAAATGGATAAAGACATGAAGAAGGTGATGGAGAGGTTAGTGAAAACGAAAAAATTTCGATTGACAAGTTAGTTGGTATTTTCGGCGCAGCAATTGCGGGACTTGGAACAGCGGAACTTTGTAACTGAACAAGAAATTATGTCTGTTTATAGAATTAAAGAGAAAGTATTATCACATAAAACGAAGCAACTTAAACAACTTACATTGAAAGAAATGTTTAATAAAGTAAACAAATAAATATTAAGCTTTTTTTTTTTTTTTTTTTTTTTTTTTTGTAAATTCTGATACCCTTTAGATCATAATTGTTCCTTATTTCATAAATTACGATTTCATATTTTTAATTTTAGAATTTCTGAAAGCCATCTTACGAGTTTTAAACTGATGATCTATAATCCGGAAAAATCGATAATCCGGAATCGCTGAAGGTCCCGACGAGTCCGGATTAACGACTTTTGACTGTATATTATAAGTAGGGTGTCTTTAATGATGAGTTGAATCCAGTAAGATGGAACGTACTTATTGCACCTAGTGCAGTCTCTAGAAGAGAAGTAAACGTGGCCCCCTGATGTGAGGCCCACGACTTGAGGATTTCTGCTGCTTGGCTATGCATGTCTTGAGAGAAGGTGCGAATTAATCTTGATCTGCAAAGTTCAAAATAATCTCGATAGCTTGAAATGCTAGACAAAGTTTCTGCATATTTGATTTAGCTGATTTAATTCTCTGAGCTATTGTGGTTATTGATTTCATGAGATAAAGGGTTTTCTGATCTTTGAAAATGTTAATGATTTCTGCTAAATTTTCCTGCGGATTTTTCTGCTTAACTTTGTCACTGTAAAAGTTTTTAGGCATTTCTTGATTAGTTTGGCCTGAAGCTTGAATGAATTCAGGGAAGTCATCTTTAGTGGGAATTTCTTGTGGTTTTTCCATCTTCTCTAAATGACTGAATCTTTTCCTGTATACCTTCACAACCACGATAAGAAGAAACGTGATTTTTCGTGACAGTAAATGCAAGTTGGATTTTTCATCTGGTTTTAATTTACAGGTATTAGGTCTGTGATTTTTGTCCGCACTTACAGCACACCTGACCTTTTTAAAGCAGTTATTTTGGGAGTGCCCGAACTCCTGGCCAATTGAAACATTGAATTGGGCGTTTTCTGGGCTGATATTTTCTATTGTGATATTGAATCCGAACATATTCTTTAATTGATGAATTTTCTCTCCTGCAGAATTTCTTTTTAGTTCAAGGAAAAATGTAGGTAAACGGATAATTTGGTTTTCTGCTTTCTTTGTGAATTGCTTTACTTTAATTATAGGGAAGCTTCTGCGTTCTAAGTCTGTGTGAATTGCTTGCTCTGTGTAGGATCTTGGGATATTCTTAAGTATAACTTTAATTGAAGAGGCTGAAGAAATTTGGTACGTATGAAAACTAATCTGTGCTTTCTGGAATTTATCAACTGTCAATCGGCTTCAGTGGTAGTGTAAAGGAAAATCTGTCTGGCTTTGATTGTAACTTCAAATTCGTTTTTACATATTTCTCTGAGCATTTTGTCTATTTCAGGCCAATCAACATCGTTTTCGAAGGAATAAGCCAGAGCGACGCGAGATACTTATACCTGAAGTAGACATGACGTCATCTCATGGCAACCAATCAGCTATCGGCACGACTCGGCTTTCCAGATGACTTAACATCAAGTTTCGTTTTTGCATCTTAATTAGACTGGAACAGTCCGTTCTTAATACAAACAGTGGCAGTGAAAAACGAAGTAACTACTATATCCCTTTAAAATAAGAACTAAGCCTTATGTAAAAGTTAGAATTATTTCAAGGAGGAGAGATGACGCAGAAAAAAGGGTTACAATAGGTCATATTTTCCAACAATGATTACAGATTTATGTTAAATGCGCTAAAAATGTTGACGAGGAAAAATTTACCAAAAATTTCTTTCCATATGCTAAAAATAAATTTTGTTGATAATACTCATAGACCCAAAGATTACATTTAGGGCTATTTGAATTAAGAATAACTGATTTGTTATTCACATAAACCCAGTGCCAGGCGCCAGAACCAGCACCAAGTCGCAGAATTTAGGACCCACAGTAAGATCTTTTAAAGAATAATTTTTTAAAGACAGTAAGAATTTAGGACCACAGGCGGTAAGATATCCAGCGTCCTCAATAAGTATATGTGGGAATTTATTTGTTCAGAACTCTTATAAGCCTTAAGTATGTGCAAGAAATAGACATAAGTATAATAAATAACTAAACTAATACAATTCATTGTCTCAATGTGCAATAGAAGCAAGATAAAATTTAACGGAACAACTTGTTGTTAGTTGCCAAGCTCGTGATGCGTAACCAAATATGTATAGTGAAGGATAGCTAAATCTGAGGATGATAGCTGCTAATTTTAAAGGTTTTCAGATATTGCAAAACAAAGGTGAAATTTTCCAATTAACGTATTTTGTAAAGAAATGTGGAGAAGCAATAATAAAGATGATATAAAAGAAGTTTTTCATTGTAATGACAATGCATCTCAATCATCAGTCAATTAATGAATGGCAAAATCTGTAGTATGGTTCTAGATCCAGAAAATACCTCTACCGATAGTGAAGAAAGTGACGGAGAAGTTACTGAAAACGGAAGTTTCAATTGACAAGTTAGTCGAAATTCTCGAAACAGTTACAGGACTTCAGCAATGTAACTGAACAAGAGATGATGTCTGTCTACAGAGTTAAAGAAAAAATATTAGCACAAAAAACGAGGCAACTTAAAACAACTTACATTGAAAACAATGTTTAATAAGACAAACAAATAAATGTTAAGCTTTTTTTGTAAATTTTGATACCCTTTAGATCATAAATATTTCCCTATTTCAAAAATCACGATTTCATATTTTTAATTTTATAATTTCTACATGCCATCTTATTAGATTTAAACTGATGATCTAATATCTGGAAAAATCTCAAATCTGGAGTCGCCGAAGTCCCGACAAGTCCGGATTACAGACTTTGTACTGTAGTATAGTTTTAATAATGTTTTACGGATTATACAACACTTGCAAGTTGAAAGTTTGGTGAAGAATAATTTAATTTCTGTTTAGATCTGCCCTCATTGGCTAACATTAAGGTTCAGTTTCCAAATTTGTAACCATTATTTGGCTGAAGTGTTATGTTAAGTATATGCATTATGAGCCCTATGCAATTGTCATATGACATGGATTAATTTTCAAGTGATACAGTTCAGAGAGTTAAGGAATTATTGCAAATCATTATTCATTTGATGATTTTTTTTTTTATCTTGCATCCATATATATATATAAAGGACATATGATAGAATAACCAAAATATTGTTTGAGGAATGTCTAAGATTGAATCTGTTGTGGAGTTTTAATTATGTACAATTCAATTTTTGCTTCGTGTCATTTTGAAACTAGGAGTGGTCTCTGTATTTCATGCAGAAATAAATTATTTTGTGTTTTCCAATGAAGAGAAATAGCTCTTAAGTAAAACAAAGCTATTCATTTATAAAATTATTATTCTTTTGCATTAATCAGTTGTTTATAATTTCAACCTTTACTATAACTTCTTTCCATTTCCTCACCAGAAATGTAAATGAATTGGAGAGTACTTAAGCTGATGTTTCTGAATTGCAAGACAGAGTATGTTTCTGCCTCTCAAGGCCACATGTTATTAGTCTGCTAGCTCAGATAACTTTGTAATTATACTGCTTTGCATTTTGCGGCCGACATTTAAATTGCTATGCTGATTAGAGTTTTGAGCCAACTTTGATTTAAATTAAATTCTGTAGCTTTTGACTACCTGTCTGTATTTTAAATTTGAATTGATTGTTATTTCAGTTACATCGCCACAAGTGGTAGCTGATCCTGTCAAGCAAAAGAAATGCATTTATGTTCAAGTTCTGTTTTAATAAAAATATTTTTTAAACCTTTTCAAGTCTCTGCAGTTAATTTCAAACACAGTGATAATTCGTTTTGCATCTGTTTGGAGTTTGGGTCTATTTCATGCTATCAAAGAAAATCAATCTCTATACATTTTAATATTAGTAGCAAATCAATGACGAAATTATCTGTTTTAGAAATCTTTGTACGCTTGATTTTTAATGAATATTTATTAATACTCTTTATTATTTTTTCGTACTGTAGCTAATGGATATTTTAATATGGCTTTGGATGTAATCCAAAGTGACGGATGCTATGTGTCTTCTAGTTTGCCAAAAGCACTCTTTATACCAGCCCCTTTTAAACAGCACAAAGGTAGAAGGTATGTATATTGTTCCCCCCCAAATGCAGTAATTTGATTTAACAATCATTTATTTTAATTGTATTTTATTTAATATTATAAAATTTCCACTTATACAAACTAATTAATTCTTCACATTTGAAAAATATAAATTTTATTGAATTCATTATAGAAATAAATAAATTCTTGACATATGTAACATAAATATTAATTAACCACATTAATTCAAAATTAATGTTGAAAGATAGCAAAAAATTTGAAATCTAGGAATTTATCTAAATTAAACAAAAATTTTCTGAGTTTCCTGATCTGTATTTATTATTAAATAAACTGAAAAAACAAGAGTGCTAATGCTAAATGATTTCAATAATTAAATAGATTTGCCTTTTAATTCAAAATCTGAGTGCTTTTTGACTCTGCACCCTCATGAAAAGTTAATTCAGCGCCATCTTTAGGTGAGAAATGTTTGGCTATCTTTACAAGAAGTCTTCTGTTCATAAATCATAAAAATAAGCATTTTATTAGAAGCAAGAAATTTTATGAGGAAGAAATTAAAAAATATACATGGAGGATATTTACATTTTTACAAACATGATTACTGGTCAGTGTATGTTGGGACCTCTACCAAATAAATTCCATAAAATAAGTTAAAATGTGATGTCTTGCAGTTCCTCTTTGCTTCTTGTTTCTCCATTTCAGTAAATTATACTTGTGGTTCACTTTTAAGTGCTCACAGTTGGCTTCTGCCATTCATGACTATTGTATACCTTCCAGCTTTCAGAAAAGATAGTACAGGGATTCCCAACTCTATGGCCGTGGGCACCATGGCGTCCGCCGATCGCTTAACCCTTTGAGGGGCGGTATATAAAATAATTTAAATTGTGGTAATATTTTGAATGAATTGTAACTTATAGACCCTAGGACACAAAATTGAGACTTCAAAAAAATCTAGAGTGAAATCCTGAATTTTGAGGGCCGGTATATATTTTATATCGGTGCTCCTTTACGACATTTTTTCCCCAGGTAGCTGCCAATTGTTAATTTTTTTTTTCATCTATTTTTGTGAACTTTTGATGTGCATCTATAGAGATGGATGCACGAGTACAGTTATGTAAGTCTGAAGGCAAAAAACTTTTAAAATTAAAAAATAAAATTAATTTTTTTGCACTTTGATGGTGCTACCCAGCTGAATATACTTATGTAAAATATTGGTAAAAAGATTTTTAAAATGATTTAAATTCAATATTATTATACCCAGCTGAATATACTTATGTAAAATATTGGTAAAAAGATTTTTAAAATGATTTAAATTCAATATTATTATTTTATGAATTTAGAAAATTTGCATGCATTACTGCAAGCAGAAACCGTATCATGCTGTAATTGAGCTAGTATAATGCTACAAGGAGATTTTACTCAGGCGAAAAATTAAAATGAAACACTATGACTCAGCTGAAAAATTATGTTGCATTTTTGAAGCTATTATATTTTATGCTTTAGATAATATATAAAAAGAGCTATGATAGCAAGAATCGCCTCCCCCCCCCACACTTTCGATTATTAGGCCCGATAAGGTGCCCTTTTTAATTTTTTGTAAATATCGGTTGTAATATATCATTTTGTTCAAGAAGAAAAGCTGTTGAACATTTTTGTTATTTGATACACCTCAATGCTCTTATTTCAATCAAAACATTAAAAATTCAAATATTTGCCACTTTTTTTTTTCTTCCAAAAATAAATGTTTTGCATCTAAAGCTGACCTTAGAAATATTTCTCTCAATTCACTAGTTGTGAAGACTAAACCACGTACTTGTATACTAATTTCCAAGGGAAAAGTTTTTATTGTATTCCTTAGTCTCTCATCTGAAATTAACAAAGACCTAAAGAATAATAGCATGCTTTTAAATCAGCAGTTTTTCTATTGCACTAAGAAATGGACCTAAAGTGCATTTCAATTTCCCATTCTTTTAGAGCTTTCCCTTTGTGTGATGTTATCACACAAAGGGAAAGTGTCCTTTTGTGAACAGTTGCGACACTTCACAGTCCCTTTGTGAACAGTTGCGACAAATGCGTGACAAATTTGTTGTCTGTCACCTGTCATTTTCGCTGCAATCTAAGATTTTGAAAAACTTGAAACAACTGTTGTGTTTGAGGGCAACAATGCCACATTTAACCTCTACAGTTGTGTAACGTTTTTGACGCCAGACGAGTCTTTCTCGTGGGAAAGGGTGGCATGCTGAAATTAAAATTTTAGCTAAACAGAGACGAATGAGAAACTCGAGTATTGTAAACAAGGAATAAAACGAAACTGATATATTTGTATTCAGTCCTAGGACAGGTCAGTAAATTTCCCATACACCCATGAACATAATACTGAATCCTAAAAAAACGGTATTAAAAATGTATACATAATATTCTTTTAACTATCAGTTTTGATTCAAATGCAGTAAATATGAAAGTTTCAGCACATGTGCATCATATATTTGAAGATTGTGAAATTTTCCTACCTTCCAATGGAATTTATGAATATTCAAAATGATATCTTTGAAAGAGGTATAGTATTAATTTCATAACTGCAAAATATTGAGCATTCATAGGGTAGTGCCACCATTTAGAATCAAAAGAAAACATTAGAAACTTATGATTACAGCTTTTGGTGTAGAAAAATGAGCTATTTTTAGGAGGTTAAAAAATTGACGAACATCTGGTATATATTATATACCTGTGCCCATTAAAGGGTTAACGTGTGCCCGCTGCTGCGATCACAATAAAAATGTTTTAGTTTTCAATAAAATTCTGTGTGAAAGGTTTCCTATTTTTAATGAATTAAAAATTGCGTCCAACACAAAGCGGAATGGCGACCAATCTCTCTCTCTTTTTTTTTTTTATATGCATGTATTAACTCTGTCCAACTATAAATTCACCTTGAAAATGTAAATAGTGCTTGCCATCCAACAGATATTCTAGAATATGCTGTTGGGAACCCCTGAGATAGTAGTTTCTTCTTTAAAGTGTGCTTTAAGTACTTTCACCCACAAGTTGGGATTTGGGGGCCTTCAGTGGGTCTCTTTCAAAATTGTGTTTTCTGATGAAGGTTTCTATTGGCTATTACATTATTTATGCCACTAATCGTACTATTTTAAAAGCAAAATTTGTAAGCACTTATGTATCAAGTTTTAACGATATATTCCAAATATCATCTGTGCAAACAGTTCACGTTGCTGTGTTTAATCATATTTTCTTAAATGATTTTTGGCATTTGAAAGAAAGAAACTTGCTTTAGACATGCTGTGCTTGATGTACAAGTTCAATCACTGGGTGCTGCATTGGCTGACTCAAGCAGATAAGAACAGACATGTTCCAGCCTACACTAATCTGCTTGGATATCAGTGCAAGGACAACATTTTGGACTGGATCATCACTTTGATGAAAAGTCGATTTACTTTAACAACACAGGCCAAAAGGGCAGTCGGTCTGCACTCGATGAGCCCGTCTGCAGCATTGCAAAGTGAAATTTGACTAACAAAAAGCTCATGCTTTGTATCTGGTGGGATTGGCATGGTATTATTCACAAAGAATATGAGTATCTGGAAAAAGGTGAAACATTCGACGCTAAGGTGTACAGTGAGATGCTGGTCCATATTAACATTGCTATCCAGGAAAGACGTCAAACTAAGTTCCGGTGCAAAAGGTGATGGGATGTTCTATCATGATAATGCAAGACCACATGTGTCTGCATTGACCGGCTGGAATCTATATGGACTCGAATGGCATCTTTTGCCATATAGCCCCAATATCGCTCCTTCAGAGTTCTATCTTTTTTCACACCTGCAGCTACATCTTGCTGGTGCTATTTTCCATTCTGTGCAGGACATCCAAAATGAGTTTGGATCTGTGTTTGGACTTGCAAGCCACTAAGTATATGGGCTGAAGGCATTGAAAAGCTACCAAAAGATTGACAGAAAACGGTAGATTTGAGTGGTGATTACTACCGGCACTAAAAGTATACTGCTTTCATTTTTTTTTCTAACTTTATTAAGAATGTTTTTTGTCGGGAAACTTCTGTTACAACCAGGTAATGTATTTCCTATATTATATGCAATTAAATCTGAAGCCGCTTCTTTTCATTCATTTGTTTTCTCTTTGTTTACATTTTCATTTAATGAATGTTTTCCCCCAATAACTCATGTTGCATTTATAAGCTGTTTAGCGTTATCTTTTTTTTTTTTTCCCCCTATAATTGTTCTTTAAAATAGAAATTTTTTTGCCAGATTCAGTTTTCAGAAGTTTTGTTTCCTCAAGTTCTCATTTCATTACACTGCTTATTTGCAATCATACTATCATCTTGTATCTTCTTTGAATATTTACTTAATTTGCTTTCCTTTCAGGACATTTTCTTTAAAAAAAAAATCTTATTCTTTCTCTTTACGCTTTGATGGATAACATACATACAATCTTTATTAAACAAAGACATTACACAGACAAAAGAAAAAAACACGGACTAGAAATTCATAATGGATTAATACATTTACATGGTCGCAAATAATGATAGTGGTTGTTCCTATTCAAAACCTAGTTTATATATTGCAAAAATATTCTGTGTAAGTGCACTAATTCTTATCTTTTCTGGCTTTGTAAAGATAACAAGTAAAAAAAATTACATACAAGGTTTGTTCTAGAAGTAATGTGTCAGAATTTTTTTTTTCAGTGTTTATTTATCAGATTGGTAGAATCATCTGAAAATCTTCAAAGTTTGACCCTCCTACGCCAATACATTTTTTCCAGCAAAATTTCGTATGCCCGATGAAAGTTCTCAAGGGAGATGTCTTTAAAAGTCTTATCAAGGTTGTTTTGTTGTAGTCAATGGTGTCCAAAAGATGTTCTCTGAGGGTTTTTTTTTTGGGGGGGGGTCTGGTAAGGCCAAGGTGGGTCTGTTAGGAATTGCAGATCCATTGTAGCCTCGATCCGGGTAAGGAAGTCACAGATGATGAAGTCATTATGGCTGGAAACATTGTCATGGT